AAGTATTGGTAACAACCAACAGAATAGAGAAATATAAAGGTTATGACAATTTCTTTGTTTTGTACACTAGAGTCAAATTAATTAATCAAATCAATACATGTATAGCACTGTTCTTCTGTGTCAATGGATTTTAAGAGAGAGATGGGCATTATTTCTATAACGCTTTGATCAACAGAACTTGGGTCAATAGTGCTTTCTCATATCCTAAAGAATAAAGATGAAAATGGCAGAAGGCTGAATTCTGCAAACAACTGTATAACGTCATACAGAGTCAATTTAAGTCTGCTGCTTTTGCAATGGGTTTCAAGAGAGATTACATACTCTCCCTGTAGTTGCAATTTCAATCCAAGGTTGAATGGCCCACTGGCACTCATGGTTTGAAATACAAATTCACAGTTCAAAAATGGCACCCAGTATCCTAAGTCGAAAAAAGCAAATGGCTTTGGAGTGGAAGTAGGAGTAAGAATAGCGCAATTACTGTAATTATTTTCAGCATCACATTGATTGAGCTTAAAACGTACAAAAGCAGTCTAGTCCCAGAGGCAAAAAAAAAGTCCTGCTTGGAGTCTAAGGATCGATCGTTTGTTACAACATTGGCCTTGTCTACAGAGAAGAAGTCAAATTGAAGAGAGTTAAAAACTAAAATAACATAGACCAAAATTACCCACTGCACTGCACTTAATTTGTCAGAAACAATTTATGAATGTTAAATTCATATTAAAGATGTATGAAAATGTTAAGTATGTTTTATTGGCAGAGTTCTAAATCAAAATAACTTTTCTCAAGTCTCCTGATTATTAGCTATCAGCTAGTTTATGGTGACAAAATGTGATAATACTCTTGTATTAGAAATGTGCAAAAAAGAAAATATTATCATCCTGCATCTCAATTCTCATCCTAAAACCGAAATGTGGTGGATCTGCATGTTAATGTACACCAACATTATTTGGCTTTTAAAACTCAAAAATATATAATACATCTGAAATATGAGAAATAAAAACTTCACATAGATCAGATTCATCTAAGTGTGCGAGAGCGTGAACAGATCCTAGTTAATTTTAAAATTAGCTGTTTCTCGTTCTGTGCATCTTCAAAACATATCATTTGCACCAACAAACAGAGGACGAGTTGTGGTTATAGAGACAAAGAACTGTATTGAAATTGTATGTAGCTTTTACAGCTCCAGTATTTGGCATTCAAAGTCTTCCGACTTAGCTATATTTGAACTGATGTCTTGCAAGTGATTGGATAGCCTTTAACACAATGCTCTGATGTGGCTAGACTTTTAAAAAATATATCAATTTCAAAGTTTGGATATGTGAATTCACGACCATTATATAATCAAGCAAGGGCAGGCCTGTTTCATTTTTAAAAATTCTCTCCTGGCCAAAATGTAAATACTGTATTAATCTTAAAACAATACAAGCATATTTTGATGAAAGAACTGAAGTTTTACAAATTTGCTTTAAAAACAAAGAGGTTTAGAAAGATGGACAAAACAATCCGTGAAGATCAAATTTATGGCTAATTCTTAGTAAACGCGCTTCCAGGTATGAATTTTCAAAATGTACTTTTTCCAACAATATATCATAATAACAATCCTTGCATTTGACATAGAGTGGATTAATATCCAACTTCTTCTCACTCTTCATTCCTAGCTTTGTTTTCAAATCTTTATGAACTACAGTGAATTCAGCAAACTAAATAATATACTAATAGGTCAATTAAATGAATTACCAAATTTTAAGCCATGGAAAGATTCATAAAGGCGTTTTCTTCTACTAAACATATGGACAGTGAATGACTGTTAAATTGATCAATGTGAACTGAGGACAAATAACTATCAAACTTTGTATTCACTTGTTACCCAAACAGTATATATTTTTTTAAATAGATGGAAAATTCATCTAAATCTATCACTACCTTGTCTCACATGATCCACTGACATCCCCTCATCATTGGTGCAAATAGAATTGACCAGTTCTAATTTGTACAAGAGCATATGAAATAAAATCACATTTTCTCCCCTCACTCCAATGTCCTACCAACTAAACAATACTCTCCTTTGCAACAGATTGGTACAGATTGCCCTTGGAATAATATATTAACCCTCTGAGGACCACAGATTAGAATTTATCTAATTTCTCTTCGGTTTTAAATAAGGCTGTAATGGAGTATCAACATTTTGTTTGTGTGAACTGGTTCAATCGGGTAAAAGATTCACATCAGCTATATTTTTATTAACAAAAATCTATAGCTGAATCTCCAGACCCAGTCCAGTTCTCTACCTTGGCTGATGACTTCTTACTTTATATTCAAAATTGAAACAGTTACATCTTATATTACTTTTGTGTCATGTTTTAAAATATTTGCCATTTATGAAACATAAGTTGACTCAGAAATTATAAATAAGTCCTCAAAAGGGTTAAAAAATAAACGAATGAAACTCAAATTCAAGTCAAATTTACTCACTATTTTGACAGAAGTCCCTTATTCTGTGAAAGCTGTCAGCAACCACCATTTTCTGGGCTGTTTTCAGTTGATCTGAAGTCTGAATCATGAGACTTACTTCCAATCAGTTCTCTTTCTCTCTTACATACTATTTCCAGAACAAGACACTTGTAGGCCAACCTTGATCCCAAGTCACACTTCAATGAGTAGGAAGAAGGTGTGTGAATGCCACAGGATGATTCAGGGGAAAGACCTTGCTTCCAACCAAACAGCCAAAATAACTTCAGGAACTCCTCAAGAAGGGACATTCTTCCACTCCATGGGAAAATAGATTTAAGCACCAATACAATTCAGCATTAGGCAGCCCCTCTTTTAGATCAATTTATTTAGACAAGACAACTTTTACTGAATACTTACTGTTTCAGATATGCATTAACAGTGCCAAAGACTTAAGTTTAAACTATATCTGGTCTGGAAGCCATTAACTCTACGTGTAGAATTTATTTGCTTATTTTTAAAATATATTTGGTGGCTTTATAATAGGTTCCAAATGGAGGTATCAGTTGGACAGATATCTCAAGCATCCGACCTGAATGGTTGCTGGAAGCATACAAAAAAAGGGGAGAAACTGTATGTTTTTGCCATCAGAGAAATAAGAGACTTCATTTGTAACTTCTGATCAATCACACTTCAGAAGAATATTCTTAGGTCTAGGATAATTACAACATTTTCCAAAGTGTGTGATTACCCAGTGAGAATTCTATATTACTTTATTGTGCTGCGATACAGAACTGGTTTGCTGTCTCCAATACACATGTAACAACAGACCTAGAAGCAAGCATACAAGTCCTGCAGCAGAACACTTCTAGCAATTCCAACACAATTTGTCACAATATCTGTTCTGCACAACTTAACACTCATAGGACCTTATATCTTGAAATAAAGTCTTCAACCCCTGTGATCTCACTGCAACACCAGCCTATATTAGGTTGGCCAGTCAATTTAAATTGCCCAATGAAAACTGGCTGCACCAAACTCTTGGCTACTTTGCAACAACATGAAGTCCAAGTTTGAAGATTCCTTACCTGCAAAACTATACTTAAGTAGAAAATAGCAACAGTTTTCCTTATACGAACAGTAGCAACTAAATTACTGATGCCTATTAACTGCACTCATGCAAACAATGTCATTGGTACAGCAGCTAGGTAAAACTGACTTTGGTTCAAGCTTTAATAGCTAGCCATATTTGGTAGGCAGCCATATTCATTTTGTTTGCAGTTTGGTAGTGTAAGAGTACCAGAACTGCGATTTTTATGCCTTGAAAAGGAGATGATTACAGTTTCTGACAAGGGGAAAAAGGTGTCTGTCATTTATTTTAAGTTGAAGGAATTGGTTTAGTTGTATCTGGTTACTATTACTTATAGGAAGTACAGCACCAGTCACACAGATTTCAATTGCAAAATCAATTTAATAGCCAGTTAGCTAAAGCTAATGTATGCGTAGTCTAAATATAGCATTAAGCTTGGTTATCAGTATCACCATGGGTGGCTACCTTTCAGTAAAATGACAAACACCATTTTACTCCATATGAACTGCAATGCTCTCCTCCAGTCCTTTAATATTTGGTTTCAATACGGTGCACGCTTACAGCAATGGGTCAAGCCATACTGTGCATACTGTAAGCCTCATGTCTCAAAACAACCCTATTTTCCAATACAGATGAACAAACTCCAAACTGAGCCAACATTAGATATGTTATGAGGCTCTACGGAAAACATACATTATCCAGTTTCTATAAGTAAAGCAGTTTCTGGAAACTGGGTAATCAATTTTCCTATCAGAAGCCTATATCGCCTTTTATGATTGGCCAGTTTGGATTGCAGTTTGCTCATTACTACCATCTTCCACAATGATTCCGATTGATTCTCTAGTATTTGAGTTGACAAAAACTTCACATACGATCCACACACGATAAAGTCTCCATTTCCAGTTGTTCAGCCATGTAGATCAATATTCCTGGTGGAATCAAATTTGTTGTTATTACCCAACCACCATGTTTAGGTAGTTCAAACACTGTGATCTTAAAAACAAGTATCATTTGAAAAACCACCAGTTCGTGAATTTTTGTCTAGACTTATCTATCCTTGCATCTTTCCTACAAAATAACCGACAGTAAACCACATTATACAAACGGTGCATAAATCTACAGTGTACCCGACAAAAAAAAACAACCTTTATCTTTGAAAGGAAGCCATTCCAAGAGACGTTAGCAAGAAAAAACCCATAAAAACCTAATTTTCTTAACGGTATACACAAGAAGAAAAAAAGATGCACAAGTACAGGCCTGCCTAAACTGTACCAGTTAAAGAAACCCATGCTATTTATACATGATATAAACACCTTTATGAAACAAAAAGGCCTGTACAACAGACCCAATTAAAATAAACACACAATTAAAAAAAGAACTAATAAAATAGATACTAGGAGGAGACAGAACCCTTGCCTATGCATTGTTAATGACTCCTATATTGTTATGACCGTCTGAAACGATAAATATTCACGTGTTTTCTTTTTTGGTAGAAGTCTTTTTTTTGTCATATGTGACACAATCCTGAAAAACAAGCAGGTTAAAAAAAATTAGGCAAACATCAGTTTTGCTTTTGCTGGAAGCAGCCAAATACACATCCCATCGCTGGATCAGTTGACCCATTCTGGGAATCGCATCTCATTGAGCCTTGGTGGTGCTGGTGGCCCCGCCTGCTGAGGTCACAGTGAACGAAGAGTTCTGGCTGGAATCAGCTGACACAGAGGTCATATGGAGACTGGCGGTATGTCCAGTTGCCCCAGCAGCAGATACCAGGCTTACGGCTGGGTTGCTGGTGAGCAGGGAAAGGTTCTGTGGGTTCAAAAAAAGTGGGCCTGTAACAATGTTTGGAGTGCCCCCTTGGTGAGCTGCATTGGCAAGCAATAGATTTCCACTGGCATCGAAGGAGGTTATAGGAAGTGACCCACTGGATGCAAGTGCTGAGGAGAAAAGAAAGAAAACAGGTAAGAATGAAAAAATCAAATGCTCTGAATCAAAGGATCCATTTTTATACCATCAAAGAAATGGAGCATGAAATGTTGCTATGTAATAATAATAATCCTTACATTTGATATAGCATCTTATCAAGTCTTCAAGACGTCTCAAAAGTGCTTCACAGGATATACTGTAAAGTAATTGACTGTATATTTGGTGGGCGAAACGCAGCAGCCAATTGCGCACAGCATTGTCCACAAACAGTCGTGGATTGAGTGACCAATTTATGTACTAATTTTGCTACAGGTAAGCTGTACTGCAATGTATCTTCAGCAAAATATCTATGCAAAAAAAAGTAGATTTGGTGAAAAAGATTTAAAAAGCAGTCTCTGAAAATGATCATCAGAAAAATCAGAATGTTACGCTATAATTTATCATTCTCTCTGGCTGACACATTGGAATATGTAAATTCCAGATTAAGATGCTGTTATCAGTACAGTGCGGCACTGTTAACCCACCTTTTGTAGCACCTATTTAGTTACAAGATGGTTGTGACATTCACTATGCATGCACTAAAATGGAGGTGATTGGGTCTCTGCCAACATCACTTCCTGTACGCTGTGCAGGCACAACACACAGAAAGTTAAATTGGGGGCAAACCTGATGCCCAGAAAGGTGGCTTTTTTTTATAAAGTGCAGAAACCAGCTGGCATGCAACAACAACAAAATTACATTTGTATAGCACCTTTCACGTCAGGAGGGTGACCCAAGGCTCACGACAATCAATGCTTTGGACCCAAGCTGAGGGTCGGGATCGGAGAGGGTGGAAGGTAGGGGGGGGAAGGGGGGGTGACTAAAGACACGGTCAAAGAGGAGAGTTTTGAAACAGGTCTTGAAGAAGGCAAGGGAGAGGAGTTCCAGAAGTTGGGGGCAGAGTAGCTGAAGGTCTACTTGCCAGTGGTGGGGCTGATGAGGGGGTGGGACATGAAGCAAGCCGGAGCCGCGGAGCCTGGTGCGGGAGAAGACACGGGCTGCAGAGTTCTGGATGATCTGGATGTGAGCTGGCTTAAGACGCATCCGGCGTGAATGGCGCTATATAAATGCAAGTTGTTGTTGGCCAGCAGCATGTACCAGCAATTAAACCAACTATCACATCCTTGTTAAGAGTTGGGATTTTATGGTTAGAACGAGGGTCCATTGAACAATTTAGGGTATGGCACTGCATAAAAAGGAAATATTTGTTTTTTTTGGTAGAAGTCTTTTTTTGTCATATGTAATAATAATAATCCTTGCATTTGATATATTGAGACGACACAAAGCTCTTCACAGAATATACTGTAAAGTAAATTGACTGCGTGTTTTGTGGACGGACTTCACTCCACTTTACAACCTTGGTGTTTTGTTCGATCCTCAGCTCTCTTTCAAATCTTGTATCCAGTCCTTGAACATGATCATTTTTCTCCATCTCTGGAATCATCCATTTTCATCCACAACTCCTGCTCATTGGAACTCCCTTCCAAAAACACCCCTCTAACGATTTTCATAACCCTTCTCAAAACCTACTTATCTCTTCGAACATCCCTTGGGTCACATTTCTCCCTGCCCCTTCCTCTCAACTTGCTCGGTGATCACAAAGCACTTCACAGAATTTACTGTAACATGTAGTGATGGCTACATAATTCCAATTGAGATAGGAGTTAGCAAAGTCATAATTCAAAATGACAGTGCCGAAAATATTAATTTTCCATAAGAATGGACCTTTTTAAAGATAATGAAATGGTGATTACATTTCATTTTTCTTATATTAGCAAACCAAGATGTTTGACCAAGGGGTAGGCAATATGCTAATCACAGTCAAGACTCACACATTAATAATCTGTTGGATAAATAGACTCCAGCAATACTGACCTTGAATAGTCGCCAGTGTGCTATTACTCATTAATGCTGGGCTGAGAGCACCACCAAGACTCCCTGGATTCAGACTTAGTAAGGCACCTCTGGAAAAGTGAAAAAAAGAAGTTGACCTTGTGCCAGTCAACACAGTACATTTTTCAGAAAATTACACAGAACTGAGCAACGTCATCCTGTCCCAGACACCAGAAAGAGGCTTCAAGGACAGTGGGTAATGGGCTGGGCCAACAGAAAAGTGTCTTCCGCAGAATCCGCTGCAAACACCCACCTTCTCTACAAACTCACTGTAAATGTGGTTTCTGGCCCGGGGGCCTCCTGGCTGTTTACCTGACGTCACTTAGTATTAGCTGACGTCACTGAGTACGGGGCGACTTCGGACGTGCATGTGTGGCGCAAGCGGCATATGAGAGTGTATGATTGTATATGTCTCTCTATATGCATTTGTGAGTGTCTGTGTGAGTATGTCTGTGTCTCCCTCTCTTCTGTGTCTCTCTATATGCTTGTTTCAAAGAACAAACCAATGCCCCTTCAATATGAGAATAAGGGAGCCATGTGGGAGAAGTGCACACCAAAGCTTTTATTTATGGTTAGTTTTCTCTAAAGATGAAGCTATTGGCAGTACCGCAGGAGACTACATAAAACAGAAAGTACTGCAGCATTTGTATTACTTAGATCTTTGGAGCCAACCCTTAGAGACAAAGTTTTAGGATAAACCTGCACTTAATGGTTTGCAGTAGATTCTATGCTTTAAAAAGCAAAATATACATCAAAATCACAATCCACCTCAGTGATGAATTGCAATAACACTTACCCAGCTGCAAACTGAGGGGCTGCCATGAGGCCAGGATTGGCTAGACCTGCAGCAGCAGCCATGGCGGCTAGGCCTGGATTGGTGGCAAGCCCAGCATTAGTGGGTATCTGCGTGGCTATTCCTTGTAGCGCAGTGGCAGCTGTGTGCAGTCCGGGGGCTGATACCATGATTTGGCCCGCGCCCAGAGGGGTTATAAAGCCAGCTGAGGTTGTCTGCGTGGTATGTGTATCATTGGTGCTGGAAGCCTCCGTCACTGAGATGGATGCTGATGGCGAAGGGGTCAGGGACGGAGAAGTCACTGCCGATGTGGAAACTGACGAAGCTAGGCCGGTGATTACAGAGGCTACATTTGTTGGGGCCGTCCCTGATGCAGTTGTACCTGAAAGATCAATGACATGTTGAGAATCTCAATGTGAAGTTCAATTTGATTTTTTTTTAAATATTTTTTCTTACAATATAAGATATACAGAAGAATTGACTCAAGATAAAGGAAAAGAAAACAATTGCTTGATTCTGATTGTTTCTTTCAAGAAATAACAGTGCGATATCTTTTCTCCTTATCCATTTTAAAATCAGAGTAGATTTCACATAGAAATAAATTAAAGGTAAATTATGTCAGATTATGTAAAATGTATTGAACAAAAACATAATTGTTGCTATCATTTCACTTCATTCTAAAATGCATTAAAACAGAATTGTCAATCAATTAAGCATCAACATAAGAACCTTTGTTCAAACAACATCACACAGTTCCTTAGCTGTCATCTATAGTATTTTAAGCATCCAACAGTGTACCTGAAATGCTGAAGCTGGTCACACCAGCACTGGATACAGGCATCTGCAATGCATTTACAGCCAGAGTAGTTGGTGTACTACTTGACACGAGGTTACTAGTGCTGGCCACCTATTAAAAACAGGTCGAAAATCAAGATACAAAATCCAGCCATTTAACAACACACAATTCACAGTATTAATCTGTAGGACATGAAATAATGCAATTACACGCTGCCTTAACCCATGATCATTTTTAAAAAAGAGTTTAATCTCAAAGCCACGACAGATTTGGGGGGCTGGTGAGAGGAAGGAACTGAAGTTCCTGGATTTTGCTCAACATTGTATGTACCAGTTAAGTCATGGATAAAAGCAATCTGGTCTAGGAATGCAGGACATTCTAAATGAACAATTCTTGATTAAACAAAAACACCCTGATCCAGAAGGTTTGTATTTCATAGGCACAATTCTTACTCAGTTGCTGCAAGTGGTCAATTACCAGATCAGAAGATACAAGTCCTTGAAAACAAAAATAATAATCAGTTTTATTTCCACATAATCAAACTAAGTAAGCCAGCGCTTTCCAGTGTACTTTTTATTGAAGCTTACAACACTGTTTTATGATGGTAGATGTACTGGAATATATTGTGTGCTTATTTAAAAGAAACATTTGAGGACAAATTTACTGGTTTGTGCCTCTCAATTCCTGACATACAACAATGTGATAATGTCAATTCTAGGTGGCTAGCATTATTGGCTGAAATTGGGCTGTAAAGATGGTTTATAAAAAATATACTGTTCGTAGGCAAAACTATAAGAACACATTTTTTATGGTTAAAAAGGTCGTAATAGGTAAAGTGTAATAATAAACAAAATTAAAATTAAGAGAGAACAGGAGGAAAGGAGGATGATGGGATACGCACAAGTGTTTAAAATATTTCAATTTAATCCTCCCTACCTCTGTGATCTGCTAGCTCCATACCGCCCTGTCCGCTCCCTCCATTCAGCAGGCTCCGGCCTGCTCCTTGTCCCCGCCCTGCCCACCCCACCATCGGCGGTCGGGCCTTCAGCCTTTTTGCCCTCTCCCTTTGAAACTCCACTCTCCATTCTCCTCAACCCCTCCCTTGCCTCCTTCAAGGCCTGCTTCAAGACCCTCATCTTCGACTGCCTTCGGTCACCCTTCTACCCCCACCTTCCCTGCCCAACATCTCTCCCGATCCCAACCCGCAGCTCAGGTGCAAATCCTTGACTGTGCAGCGCCTTGGGACGTCCTCCTGACTTGAAAGGTGCTATGCAAATTTAACTTGTTGTTGAATAGAGTTATCACCTCTTGTGGTGATCCTTCTCACAAACTTGCCCTCACGATCACAATGTTTCTGGCTTTTCCCATTTGATTAATGCTAATTTGGGTACTGGTTCCTTTATATTTTATTCTCTTAATGCTCACAAGGATTCCTGTAGCTCAGTAGTTAGAGTACTCGCCTTGCAAGCGAGAGACCTGGGTTCAATTCCCAGCAACGCGAAATGTCGGGCAAGTTTCCTTACTCCACACGCCTTTGTTTACCTAGCAGTAAGTAAGAACCCGGTTGTTAGTCGATTGGCAGATCACTTTTCCAGGGGTAATAATTCCTTAAATAAAATAAATAGGTAACTTCAATCCACGACTGTTTGTGAGACATTGTTGTGCGCAATTAGCTGCCGCATTTCGCCAAAATATAGTCAATTCACTGACCAGTACATTTTGTGAAGCGCTTTGAGATGCCTCGAAGACGTGATAAGGCGCTATATCAAAAGCAAGGATTATTGTTATTATTAACCTCCACCCATGTTATCATCTACTCACTGGGAGAAATCTAGAATCCTCAAACTGTACTAGTCCAACTCATTTTCTCATTATGGCAAACAAATGATTAAACAATATACTTTAACTAGGAAAGCCACACCAATTTAAGCATTAATGTGTAGTCAACAAAACTTTGTGGTGAACTCCATCTGCTGTTTGGTGAGAGGTATGCCCAAGGTTATATTTCAAATTATGCACAAATACTAATGAATACTTGAGACTTTAGTTCTACGTAGAACAACAAATAATAATTATTGCCTTCATATAGAATCTATATTGCAGAAACATCTAAAAACGTGTCATTAGTAACTGCAATCAAATGTAGTGACTGTCTAATTATAGCCAAACTCAGTAGCCATTTCTGCAAAGGGGGTCCCTCGAACAGTCATGAAGTGACTGACCAATCTATCTAAAGGATTGTTAATCAGGAATCTGGAGAAACGTCTTTTTCTTTTCGATAATGTCATGGGATCTTTAACATCCAGCAAAACTGGTAGCTGTTGAGACATGATGATGGATTCTATTATCTTTTCATATTTAATGATACATATTTATTTCCAAAGTGGCAGTCTTGGTAATGGCTATAGCCTATTCTACCAAGGCATTGCTCAGAAGTTTAGATTGCACAAGAATGCTTCTTTAGCGAACTCTTGTCACCCCTTTTGCAGCTCCTTTCAAGGCTGGTCTTGATAATGGTCTCTTCAGCCCACATTTTATTCTGTGAAGCACTTTGAGATGTCTCGAAGACATGATAAGGCGCTATATCAAATGCAAGGATTATTATTATAGGCATCAAATCATTTTACACTAACTACCAATCCAGCTTCTTCATAAAGTGTGGAGGTATGGGGATCACTGGTGTTGGGAGAGTTTGCAGCATCTGTATGGCCTATAGTTTAGGCATGTATCATTGCATGTGGACTGCTAATTGTATTGGTGGATATGTTTAGCTTGATGCAATGAAACAGCAATAATTATTCCATGTTCTGCTGCATGTGTTGTCATCATTCTTTACGTTAAGTGTAGATTTCTCATACTGTGTGGCATGACTTCATAGTGCTTACAAATTATTGTTGTGACAAAGAGGGTTTTATGACATATTCCAGGAGGAGCTCACGTCTATCTGGGAGGGATCTGTTCCCTATGCGTGGTGGAAATCATAAAGCATGAGCTGATAACCTATCTCTGGGTCAAAAGGTTATTGATTCAAGTCAGGAGAGTGTTGCATTGTCTGAGCTGCTATCCTTTGCACGGGCTATTAAACCAAAGTCCTATCCGCCTATTCAGATGGATATTAAAGATCCCACGACACTTCAAAAGTAGAAGGGAGTTTCACCAGGTGTCCTGGCCTACAATTCTCCAGTTAAAATTGGTCATTCACACATTGTAGTGGTTTGTGGGACATGTCTATGTGCAAATTGATTGCAGCGTTCGCCTATAAATAGTCATCATATTTTACAATAAAAACTGTGAAATACTTTGAGATGTGACATGATGAGGCCCTATATGAAATGCATGGTTTATTATATAACCCAGGCTGTGTTGATTCCAGATGGGTAGTATTTTTATGGGTAATAAAAATAACTTTTTATTGAAATCAGCTAATCAGGCAAAACATCCAGTAGTGCTGAGTGCTGAAATTGTTATGCATTATTTAAGTTGCCAGTTTTATCATTTTTGAATTACACAACCTCATACAAAACATGCAGTTAAGTAAAAATTTAATTCAAAGAATACAAATGATATCACCAAACATCACTGAATGAATGTGCAAAACATAGAATATAGATATCTTAAATAAAATTGAAAAGATAAGTAACGTTAGATAGTCCTGCTTCGTAGCTCAATTACCTAAGGACGGAATCTGTGTTTTTTAAAAATTCACGTAGGTTTTACTATTACTATAACTACCTTCATGCCTCTGATATTGAGCTCTGACAAACTGTGATTTTGGTATTGGTTTGGCAATTTACCGTATTTTGACATCCTAATTGTATAATGATCTCATAGTTAGTTACAGCCGCAAAAACTTGATAAGCAGCTTATGCTGCAATACATTTTTCAAAATATAATGTGCACAGGTCCAATAATCCCCATTAACATAACTGTTTCATATTTTCAGTTTGCTTTCCCAGGACTCTCATTTAAAGTAACACTTTAAAGCTGTAGAAATATGACACAAGAGACCACATGCTGTTCTTGATTTGCTGTAGGTAAAATATAGATAAGTGCCATAAAAAACACTGCAGAAAGATCTTTAAAATTCTGTTTGCACACCATGAAACACAGCTTTTTTGGGTTAGATTTGCTTTCATTGAAGACATTCAAATCAGGCAAACCTAATGGACATTCTTGGAATCTTTCCCCTCTTTTCCAAGTCATTGCAGGAACATACTGGTGAAGAGAGAGATCGTTTTAAGTTATTTTCTCCACAGAATTTTGTTTACGTTATACTTTCCTTTGATCCAATACATCATGTAGGCAGTAGCAGATTAATTCACAACTCATTCTGAGTGATCCACTGAATTCACACTTCTTACAAAAAAGAACAAAACGTTTAACCTAATTTGTCTGAATTGTGAATTTACCTGATCACAACTATATGAGGGACGAAATTAACCTGATTCGCTATGCCATTTACATCAATGAGCTATATGTTTTTCACAGACTCCATAGGCATTGTGACCGAGGTTGTAATATCAGGACAGGGCAGTCACTGGTTTGGAGTGATGATTCTTTGGTTTGGACACTGGGAGCTGAGCAGCTGAGCTAGTTCAATATTTGTCATTAATATGGAAAAAAAAGATTTTTTAAAAATCCAACTAAACCATTAAGGCCAACTTCAAGTAAACAGGAAAGTTTTCTAAAAGTAAAAGATTTTAAATTTTATTTAGTGCCTGAATGGTTGTTAGTTTCTATCTTTCCTACACTAGGCAGAATATTTCAATACTTTAATCTTGAGTTTGTGGAACTCCCTGAAATATAAAATTATGTTTGCAACCACTAAGCTCAGTTATTTTGAAAATTGCTATTTAATAGATTGCTATTTAATCCAGGCATACCAAATCACACATATCTATTATGTATTCGACTAAAATTAAAAATTTTTTTAAATATTAACTCTCATCTAGCTTTGATATCTTCTTTTCAATTAAGTCCATAGAGAACTCATGAAATTTGACCAAGACCCCAAAGGCCCTACAGTTAAATAATAATCATATTGTTCTGTAAAAGAAAATCTTGGTTACAAAATTAATACTGTGCAAAGATACTGCAGCTTCACTGTGCAAAGAACAAACTTGTATTTGTACATCACTTTACCATATTGACTGTGCATTGACTTGTTTTTTCCTAGATAAAAATAGTAGCCGTTTACATCAGCAAGATTCCAACAAAGAGCCAGAGGTGAATGCCTAATTATTCAAGATGTTTGTTAAGCTAAGACCATGAAAGAAATATGTTTTTCTTTTTGAGTATTGTCATGGGATTTGTGTTATGGGATCTTTATCCAGCTGTTCAGGCAGACCAATCCTCAAATATTCTTTGTGAAAAATTGATCCAATGTGAAAGTTAAGTTAATGAAGCAGAATCTTAGTTTAAGCAACATATGGGAATAACTCCCAGTTGTCTCCAGATACTTTTTGATGGTGTAACTTGGGAATGTGTGTTAAGTTCCCAATTCTACAGTTTAATTTTTTACTCTATTGGATCTTGCTTAGCAGATTGTTTTAATATCACTACTGAAATAGTTCAGTTCTACTGCTGATGTAGCAGGTCTTGTTGTAGTCTCCTACAAACGAAGAACTGAATATCCGATTTTAATAGAAAAATCCAGTGAAACACCAGAATATAGCATCGGGTCTGATTGAACCTTCACTGGGAAAAGTGTCTGGCATGACTATAATTGGAAATTCTACAGAGGAGATTGTATCTCTCAATATCATCAGTCTGTCTGGGGCAAGGTGCCACAATTCTCCTTTCTTCGACAGAAAGTCTGTAGTAGAAAAACCAAGTTCAAAATCCAATTTCTGGTGGCCAGTACGGTTCAACGCACATCAGACTCTAGCTCTTCATCTTTGATGTCACCATAGGGATCAGATGAGGTGAAAAGGAACTTCCTTGGCCTAAAGAGTGCCATAGAGTCCTGTGTTCTAGAACAGCATCAAATGAATATTGAATTAATGTTATGATGCTGTACAGACATTCACAATGATGTGCAGAAATAGAGCATAGTTGCACCAATAATAATACCAAGACCTGGTGTCATTGGCTAATTTATCTCTAAACAGTTGGTTTGTAAAGTGGTATGACAATTTTAAAAGTGGAACATTTATATTTTGGTTACATTGATACATCAAAAGTATCATAAACCTTAATGCACACAATACATCTTGCAGCTGCTGTACATTGCCAGCATATAGTTATATGCAGGTTAATTTAAAGATAGCAATGAAAGCACATACTACTTACTCATTTTGGTACTGCAGTCCAAATAGTCTTATAATAGGTGTCAGAAACATACACTAAGTGGCCTCCAAGACCTCAAGAAACATATACAGAGGACTTGGTATCCTTATTTAATTGTAAGAGGATGAAAGGTGTTACGGTGGGAGATACAATTGTGCTTCTTCCACCTTCTGGTGAGTCATGTTGTGAAAAAGAGAAATAACTCGTTTTGCTTTTCTGGCCACTAAAACATCAAAATCATTATCTAATAATAATATTGATGTGCATTTCCTTCCTTATTTTTTACATTAGGGAAACATGTATTAAGTATATACATTATACAATAATATTGACTTTTTTATAGGTATTAACCAAGGGACAGAGGATAGGGACAACATGACGGACCCATTCATACAAACATTTTAGCAATTCTCTGTTTGATAAAGCACCATAATTTATTGCAAACAACAGAAGCAGCAGCTCAGCAATGCTCACTGTTGAGAGGAAAGCAGAAAGTAGCTCTCCTCGCTCACAGTTAGTGCACTCATATAGAGGGGTCACAATGGAGGAGGATGCAGCCCTTTCAATAGAAGGGGGAGAGAACCACGTAAACTAAACAAACAGGAAATGCAAAATTCAGTGCTGTATCGCTGAGAAAGTGGACCATAACAGTGCTCAAATATTCAAAACACAACTGTGAGTATTCCAGATACGAGACTGGATGTTATCACAAATCAGCGGAACTCTGTAGCAACCCGGATATTCAGCTCACTACTTAAGTAATACATTTACCAAAAGTCAAGGAGCATCTTTGAAGAAAGAAATTGTATTTTTAAACTACTTGATCGTGCGGTGAAGTGACAATTCATAACGATCACAACCACTAAGCCCGAGGCAGATCCTCTCACACAGCCAGTGAAAATTGAGCCCTGATGGAAAGCTACTATGTATGCATCTTTGGTTATGGAGGACAAGGTTTTTTTTTAAATCAGTGAGAAACTTGGTGAAACACCAAGACTTCTGGTCTAGGAAAAACCAAAGTTGAAAAGAACTGCAGAAAACAAGATAAGCAAGAAGTAATTTCATGACTCAAGACGTGCTTTGATAATATCAATATTGGGTTTCAAATATCTGCAGATTATAGGATAAAATGAAAAATGAGGGATGCAAAAAGGAAAATAATTGTGGAGGTAGCTTGATAGGTTTTGTACAACACAGCAAGGGAGCACTTGCAGATTTATTTCAATTTGCACTACGTGAAGCAGGCTCAATGACTAAAAGGAATTTCAATTCAAAACAAATTCAGCTGAATGCACATTTGGAAATCATATTGTGAGATACCAGTAAGATAGTTTACTCAAAATTTCAATATTGTGAAGGAAAAGTTTGCAGGAATACTGGAATGTTCTTTGTAGGTTCACCAGAATTCAACATTGTGATCCCAGTGATCCAGCGGGGTCTAAATAAGACTTTCAAGGAATTGCGTGAATTCGACATAATTTACTCTGCACTCTGCATAGAACGATAATGAAAATGTCCATTCACAACAATGTATAAAGTGCTTTGACCACTACAGAAAACAGTCTTTGGCATCAATCTTCACAAAAAAATGTTGCCCTTTATTCTTTCAGGGTTACATTAGTGTGCAGTATACCCAATATGAATATCCCACGTTCCGGTGAGCGGGTTTTGATCTGGACGTACTGTGAAACTGTCCACTTCACCTATACATCACCAATACAGCCTAAAACCTTGATTTAATTTTTTTTTGCTGCAGGGCTAAAGTTCAAATTTCTGCTGATATGTACAGATGACACAGCAGAGAGCACTTTAGCAAATCAATTGCGAAAAATGGCTATAAGTACATTTGCTAAGAATTGGCTGAGACTAGATTACATATATATGTTCTCCTACCATGGTGGTGGGGCTGTGAAAAATCTGTTTGGTAGAAGCGGTAGAGCTGCTGTTGCTGCTGGGTGGATTAATCCGTTTCTCTTTCTGGCGTCTATTACAGAACCAGACACGGATCACTTCCTTCTCCATCTGCAGCTGGTCGGCAATCATCATGATCTCCTCCGAGGTAGGCTTTTGGTTCTGAAAGAATTAATAATTTTGTTTTGCAACTGTTGAATAACATTTTGCTTAGGACTTACCAGCCCAAAAAAGATTGTCAAACTTTTTCTTGTCACTGTGCATTTGTGTTTTTGCACAAATTAAGTACCAAATTACATTAAAACTGGATGTGGCCTTGATGAGTTGGTACCTGGAGTCTTGTGGCATGTGGTTTTTCTCTCCCCATTTCAAAAGGAGTCAGTTGTTGCAAGGAGTGGAGCCTGTTTGTTTTATTTGGAAGGTGGGAGGGGGAGAGAAAGAGGGAGAAAGGGAGGCAACTCGATAAATTCCAGCAGTTGTAAACAGAGCTAGAAGGCGAGGTTGGCAATTTTAGACTCTCTCCCTCTAATATAACAGGTCGGACTTGACTGTGATATTTAAGATAATGAAATGTTTGAAAACAAGAGGAATGGATTATAGCTTCCAAGTAAGGTCTGAATGATTGGTGAACAAACTATACAGCCTAAACTAAGTGTAACAAAAGATAGTAATTCAGTTGTGCAATGGAGGTGCAAGTAGGTGAACTGTCCCAACATATAGGTTGGTCCAAAATATTGAGTTGACAAGCAGAATAAACCAAAATGCCTGGATTCAGACTTCTGATGTCCTGTGCCTCATGCGTTATTTTAGTCTTTCGAATCAGGACTAGAGCTCACCTTTATCGACCTCTTGTCCATTTTCTTCATATTGTGAAAATAAAGTAAAATTTGCAAGACAAAATATTAGAAATGGGATAAGACCATTCTAAATGCATAACTGTGGAACAAAAGGATTAATGATATTCCACAAGATTTTAAACATCATATTTTTGCAGCTGATTTCTCATTTCAGGCCTTGCTCAGAATTCAGAATTATTGATTTCGGGAACAAAGGAAGCTATAAAAAATGGCAAAACCACAACCACAAACTGATTTTGACTTTCGTTGCTATAGCTGGATTAAAAGAAATAGCATCGGTTGATTTAAATGAACTGTACAAACATGAAGTTAATACAATATCATCTCCCAAACAGATATTTATTCCAAAGCAGTTTTATTCTGTGTCAGTCTATTTCATAGCTTGTGACTGACCTCCAGGAAACTCTTTTCTAAGGCCACTCGAACATTGGTCTCTATGCTGGTGCGTTTCTTTCTCCTGCGGCTCAGCCCTTCAATTCCCAGACCTGGAGAATTCAGGGAACTAGGACTCGACAGCGCAGAGTCTACTGACAAATTTTCTGTGCAAACACAAATGTTTGAAAAGGTAAGAATAATATATTTGAACTATTGATATATGCATCAATTTTTCACTTAAAAGAACATTAGCTATGTAAATAGTTAAAAAAATGCAAAATATATTATAACAATCCTTGCATTTGACATAGCGTCTTATCACATCTTCAAGATATCTCAAAGCGCTTCAGAAAATATACTGTAAAGTGAAATGACTGTATATTTGGGGGCGAAACGCAGCAGCCAATTGTGCACAGCAGTGTCCCATAATCATTCCTGGATTGAATGACCAAATTATTATTTTTTTAATACCCCCGGAAAAGCAATCTGCCAATCCACTAACGACCGGGTTCCTACTTACTGGTAGGTAAACAGGCATGGAGTAAGGAAACTTGCCCAACATTTCATCCTGCCGGGAATCAAACCCAGGTCCTCTAGTTTCCGAGGCAAGTGCTTTAACCACTAAGCTACAGGATTCCGATATATAAGCATTCAGCTTATTATGCCTGTATAATTATAACAATAATAATCCTTCCATTTGATATAGCGCATTATTATGTCTTTGAGACGTCTCAAAGCACTTCACAGGATATGCTGTAAAGTGCATTGACTGTGTGTTTTATAGGCGAAACGCGCACAATTAATGCCGACTGGAATACAAACTTCAATATATTTAAACCCCTAGAAACTGAGCAAAGGAAGAAAATACTAATTCAAACCTGCATCATTCAACCACTTTTCAAGCAATGGTTTAAGCTTGCACATGTTCTTAAAGCTGAGGTTCAAGGCTTCAAAACGAGAGATCGTAGTTTGGCTGAAGTCATTCCCATAGAGTTTTCCCATGGCAAGTCCTACATCACCCTGACAAGAGACATGGAGAAAGAAATAATTTGATCTTTAATATCAAGTGCTTTAGTAGTAGTTTACATCTCTGATTATCAATGCTAAAATCTACCAATCATTACTTTTGTGAATTCAGAGACTGCAAGGTTGCTGTAACGCCCCATGTGAAAAATAAACCTTCTAAGAAAACACTTTACTATCAAATAAACTGAACTTGTCTTCCCCACCTGAGTGAACCCGAGTTTGATACGTCGCTGTTTAAATGTCTTGGCAAACTGTTCAAGTTCCTCAAGGTCACTAGGCTCCTCTATATTAGGAGTATCTACGCGCTTTGGTGTTGACTGGCTCTGCTGAACCGACTGGATAGGAGTTGTTGCTATCGTTGTGCGTGTCGGTGTTGCTGGCTGAAAGAAAACAAATCATAACTTTTATCGATTAGATGGGTTATAGAGATTTACACCACACATCAATCCTAGATTATGACAATCTATGCAATACATCTCCCAGAATTACACAATCTATTTCAGTAATATTACAATTTAAATTCTGTTCATACCATTCATGTTTAATGTAGCCACATCATAAACTGTACTTGAACAATGGAATGAAGAGTAGTAGAAATGACCTTTCTTAGAGAATTATATAGTTCAGGTTATTTTGAGTATGGGGAGCAAGGGTACTAAAGAAATTCTACTGAAGAAATTCTGTGTTTGACAAGGGTTTTAAAATATTCTTAAGTCAGCTTTATTTCGAAGTTTGTGTGATTTATAGCTCATTGTTTGATTTCCACTGATTTCTGTGCACCCAGTAAGTACACATGTTGACTGTTAATGTAAAGGAATACTGTAATAGCTTTCATTCTTTCTGTTTCAAACATATCAGTCATTTCCATGGGGAACTCAGTCTGCATTCTGAAGCTCATGCGTGACAGACATACCATCTCCCTTTTGCACACCTCATAGAGGCCAACAGTGTAGTTTCTCATCATTTTTACAACACTTTATATATATATATATATACTTTTCTTCTGAATTTTCCTCTCTTGGGCTATGATACTCCTTAATTGAATCAGTTGCAAAGGGATAGGAAGACCGAATAGAACAATGCGTGAGCAAACTGACCTTCTACCTCTGGGGCCCGGGTTTCAAACTAACCGAGACAGATGCAATGAAAAGGTTCAGACTGTCAGCTGAAAAATTCATGATTTGCTGAAAAGGGTGTCAATGCAACAATGTTCGCATGTAAAAATTGCCATTAAGGGGTGGAGGATGGAATGGTTAGAGGGCGAAGTAGGTTTCCTTGGACCAGCAGAGAATACAACAATAACTGCTTGCATCTTTATATAGTGCCTTTCAATTAAAATACCAATTCAAAGCACTTGAAGACAGGGCAGGTCGCTAAGGAGGGGAGGCGGGAGGTGACCATATGAAAGGTTAAAAAGGTAGATAAATTAATCATAGTAGTTTCCTTCCTCTCAGTGCCAATGTGAACCTGTATACAAGAGAAAATGGAGGAGGAATCACACATGAATCTTTGGCTTCATCTGTGCAAACACAGAATGTTCATTCATTCTGGGAATAAACATAAACTGTGATCAGATATATTTTAAAAATTTGAATTTAAGAGAAATTAAGAGACAAACCTTAAAAATAAGATGCTGTGCAATTTTATCTTCAAAATGCATCAAAGGCTTTTTCACTTTGGACAAGAGGAAAATTGGATGTATAATTTCAGTACTTTATATAAGCTAAATGTGAAGGTCTAGCCAGATACTCTTTTTAAAAAAAAAGCACTTTATTTCTAGAATCTGTCCCTGTGACCTTCTGTGTCCCTAGCTTAATGCAACACGAGCATCAATTAAGCCATCGTGGTATTTAGAAGGTGGGAGTCAGTTTGTTGTGGAATCAGCCGCACATCAGAACCTTGAGCTCACAGTCCAGGTGGACACTTCCATGCAATGCCGGGGGAGCACTGCATTGTCAGAGATGCTTCCTTTGGATGAAATGTTAAATCAAGGTCCCTTATAGGACATTGTTATGTACAAATTAGCTGCCACGTTTGCCTACAAATACACATTCATTGTACTTCATAATAAATCCTGTGAAGCGCTTTGAGACATTTTGACAACGAGATAAGGTGCAAGATCAAGGATTATTATTTCAGCATTTAGATTTTTATAGGGATCAAAAGCTATGAGACTTAGGATTTTAGGTTAGTCTTGATACAGATTTGTTTCCATTAAACAGACCTGCGTGCTGAAGGTGATGCTTGGCTGAGACTGCAGGAGGTTGGCTTGGCTTTGCTGAGGTAGTTGTTGTAGAAGGTTCTGGGCTTGTAGGAGACCTAATAGAATGGAAACAAATGCTTTCAAAAATTATCAATAAAAAGGCTTCTGTTCTCATGTTCAATTGAAAACCATTGATTACCCTGGAATCAATTGAAAAATCCCGAAAACAAAAGATTTTACAATCAACAACAGAAAATAATCTGGGGTATTAAGCTTTTTGTTTTGTGTCAGAAACCAATGGTCAGAAACCAAGGAGAAGAATTGACTCTACAATTTGAAGTTGCTCTGCTAAATGAAGATTTTTTTTTAGCAACAGCCCAATAGTACAAAACACAAATAATAGGATTGGTTCAAGAATGCAATGAATTGGGCACTGTATAAATGTTGTTGTTAAACTGCTGTCTGCAGTGCTGTTGATGGAGAGCAAATTTCCTGCACAGAATAGTAATTACCTGCCTTCAAAACAGATCTTAAAATAATAATATTGTGTCTATGGATCAGTTACATTTTGACAATTTCTATCCATTCAGCTTTAATGTCATGGTGAGCAGCTCCAAAATCATAATGAATTACTCTTGCAAGCCCTATGTATTGATAAAATCCTCAAAGGAGCAGAGGCTGTATGTAGTATTCACCTGATTCCTAGATCTCAAAGAACAGTGCATTTTAAAGCAATCAAAACACTTTTGTGCCACATTTCTACCATTAGAAAGGTTAGATTGGCTGCACACAATTTTTCTCTCATTCCCTCCTTGACCAGTTCAACCTCCACATAAAGAAATTAAAAGAAGTTCTCACCTTGTTGCCCCTGCGGCGATTGTGAGATGATAAACTGCGTTGGTTGCAGATTTGTGGCAATTGGATGACCTGGCTGCACCAGAACAAACTGCTGCAGGTTCAAGTTTTGTTGCTGTAACTGTTGCAACTGTTGCAGGTCCTGTCAAATGATAGAATGGTCAGTTGAATAATACAGCAACACATTAAATGAGTATCCAGCTAAACTGGCTTGCGCTTTCTGCGCACCCGGACTAGATTGGAAGCACAGTACGTCCGGCTTCTGCTGCTGACTGGCTGGTTTCCTGGGCTTAAAAATAGTCAGATTTCTGTCAAGTGAATTGGCTGTATATTTTGTGGGTGAAACGCAGCAGTCAATTGCACTCAGTAGTGTCCCACAAAGTCGTGGATTGAGTGACAACATTTTTTTTTAAGGGGATTATTACCCCCAGAAAAGCAATCCGCCAATCGATTAACAACTGGGTTCCTACTTACTGTTAGGTAAACAGAGGTGCGTGGAATAAGGAAACTTGCCCAATATTTTGCCCTGTTCGGGAATCAAACTCAGGTCCTCTCGCTTGCGAGGCGAGTGCTCCAACCACTAAGCTACAGGATGCCAAAAATCTGTACTGCCTCTCAAATCAACGTACTACTGGACTACAAATGCAGTCTGATTATTAGGCCTGGCAAGTGGTTTGATCTTGAAATTGGTCTTCAAAGATTTTACAACAGAGAAAAAAAAACATACCCCTGTGACCTATTAACTTAATTGGCTACTGTGGTTCTGGGCCTATAATTTATATTCAAAAAAAGGTTTTCACAGGTTACCAATTTGATTCGTTGAAGGAAATAAAAGAGGTTAAAGAGCATCTACTTGCTTACTTGTATTTGGATTGGTTGCGAGATGGGTATTTGGGCCATGGGAGTTGCTGCTGTAGCAGAAATGGTGGTCCCCGCGGCATTATGCTGCTGATTTGCTGAGTGTTGGACTGCAGCAGCCAGAAGCTGGGCTTGTGCTTGCTGGAGTAACAACTGCTGCTGTGCTGTTGTCAACGTTAGCTACAGAAACAAAAGCAGAACAGAAACAGATACAATTAACATCAAAGAAACAAATATCAGAGTGCATTTTGCTGCTACTATAATTATTTATTGCTCCTAACCCAATATAATTTTTTTTTAGCGCTATCAAAGAAAATGCAATTTAGTTTTTACAAAGGTTAAATGGTCTTGAATTTTCATCATTGATAATACACTCTTAGTATTATAACAACGACTAATGTTAATAATGATCACATTGTTGAAACATCTCAAAGCCCCGGAGAGTTTTCTATTTGTCTGCGAACACGGCAGCCAATTAGCACACAACAATGTCCCCAAAACAGCCATGAATTGAATGACCAAAGTAACCGTCAAAGTTACCATCAAAGTAAAAGTGGACAATTAAAAAAAATCAATTGCAATGGTTGCCAAGTTTTGTTGTTTTCACCATCGAGCTAACTGATATTTTGAGCAATTGAAATCCAAATGCTTTGTCTTGAGCAGAAATTCATTTTTCAGTTTCTATAAAAAGGAAACTCCTTGAACGATGTTTGCGGTCTTTGAGGGAAGAATGAATTTAATTTAATTACATTTTCAACAAGACCACATTTGATTAAAAAATAATTAATTGGAACAATACGATCTATCCACCGTTCCTCACTGTGCTAATGCTAAGGCTGAGATAACTGTTAACCTAGGGACATTATTCAATTGCAACTGAAAATTTCTAACTTACCCCAGTGATCTGACCTCCAGCAAGCATTAGCTGGGTCTGTGGTAGAGTGGTCTGTAAAGATGGTTGCTGTAAAGGCTGGACTATCTGTTGGGATGAAGAATCTCCTGATTCTTCACTTTTTACCTTAAGAACATCAAAATAAACTGGTAAGTTACAATATTTAGAAACAAAATGCATATTAAAGTTCCTAAATCTACACTTTATTTTATTTAAACTGAACAGCACCATTACTTTTAAATACAACTTGCGATTCTTTAGTCTTCTCTGAAGATCCAAAAGGGGAACTGGATAGATATTTAAAAATGAGTAAACTACAGGTTAAAGAGTTAAAGAATGGTAAAGGGACTGAAAGGATTGCTCTTGAAAGGGCTAGCACAGATACAATGAGCCAAATGGCCTTATGTGCTGTAAATTTCTATGGTTCTAATAGTTAATCAAGTTTATCCAGTCATTAAATGAGCGATTACAGATGAGGAAGATACCAGGTTTGATCCTCAATCTATGCTAAGACAGAAATAAGGGATCGTACAATTGGTCTCAGGCTACAGAGGGGAAAGACAGTCAGAATTGTTAGTCCAGACTGGTGGCTAACTAACTCTGCTGAAAGGTAAATGTGCATGGTTGTAGAGACAGGACAAGCAATGATGTCCTCCCACAAAACTCACTTAGAAGGTAGACGTAAATTAAGCGACGGGAATAAAATCAGTGAAGAATTTTAAAAACATAAAAAGCTTATGAGGTACTTCTATTGTCAGAAGGGTCTGATGTTTGCAGAAGCTTTCAAAAAATACCTCTTATTGAATTCAACCGTTTAGTTGAGTTTGGTTAATCTTGAATTTTACTTCAAAGAAATTAAAAATTAATAAAATACGCTTTTAGGATCAAAATGAAAGTTAGAAATGGAGGGATTGCAATAAACCAGAGAAAGGAATATTTTTATTCTTTTACTTTTTTTATAGATACACACCCACAAAGACATATATATATATATAAAAATACACACACACATATGTACACGCACACACATATATATGTATGAATATACTGAGGGTCAATGAGAGCATGCACAGAGGGAGAGGAATTCCTTTTCAGACCACTGAAACTGGAAAAGCATTCAAGGGCAAAACTATGTAGGTTCATATTCTTTCACAAAACAGATGATTTGCGACTCATCAGCGCTGAACTTTTTCTGATAAAGCGTCACATTGAAAATATTTATTACATTGAAAAGTTTTTTTTCAGTTACTATTAAGATATTATGCATTTCCTCTATCTTTGCTAATTTTTCTCCTTGCAATTTTTTTCCATTCTCTTCTTTCCTTGCTATAAATAGTATACTTCCACAGGCAACAAACACTCTTCAGACTTTGTTGAAATGACTATTTTGCCATGTGTGAGGCTGGGTATCAGCAAGGTATTGAACTACGAGAGACATTACAGCCAAGATAGATCCTGTCCGGATATCCACAAACATGCACCTCTAACAAGAGGCTACTGAATATTGATCAGGAGTGGAGTCCTGTAGCTCAGTGGTTAGAGCACTCGCTTTGCAAGCGAGAGACCTGAGTTCAATTCCAGGCAGAGGGTGAAACCTTGGGCAAGTTTCCTTACTCCACACACCTAATAATAATCCCTCCAAAACCCAAACCAATAATAAATTGGTCATTTTCAATCTATGACTGTTTGTGGGACATTGCTGTGCGTAATTGGCTGCCGCGTTCGCCCACAAATATACAGTCAATTAACTTTACAGTGTGTTCTGTGAAGCGCTTTGGGACGTCCTCCCGACGTGAAAAGCGCTATATCAAATGTAAGGATTATTATTATTATTATAGTGGTGGAGTTTTACTTTAAGGTAAAATCCAGGAGCACTGAGAACAAAAAAATACCATTATCATCCTGACACCTAAGTAGTACTTTTCTTTATTTTCAAGCATTTATGTTTTCTTCTTTTGGTCCAATACTGTTTTGTAACCTGATCCACAAAAATATTAATAAATATTCTGAGGAACAGATGACTTGGTTTTTGAGCAGCCAGGTGTCTGATATGTGCCGAAACCCTTCACCACCCTTAAGAGTATCCAAACCAGACGACCTAGTGGACAAAGACACTTCCCAGTTTAGCACTAAGGCATATAGATCAGGTTCCATGGTCAAGGCTTAGTTAATCTCAGCTAAGGCAGATTTGGGATGCAATATTTGGTTTCGAAATGCATCCTAGAAGTATGCTGATATCTTCAGGATAGAAGAGGCAAAAGAATCCGTAGGGCAATGTTGACGATGAACATTAGTGTTACATTGATCAATTTATGCAAATTATAGAATAGAGTTACGCATTATTTATCTACTTCTATCACTCTAGAGGTGGCACACTAAAATAAACATGCACCAAAAAACTTCTGTAGGCTCAACAGCACCACCAGCACATAATTAGTGGTGTTGCAGCAGTTACAAATTTGGTTGGATTTTTTGCACTTCAAAAGTATGTAATTTTACTGCCACAAATGTCACATTAACTATCCATCACTCAGCAGTACAATCAAGATTGCAAGTTCTTATCCTGCTTTTTGAAAGCTTGCCAGCTTATTAATTACTGCTCCATACACGTTATCTCCTATTTTCTGTCAAACACATTTCCTAACATTAATGTTCTCTCTACTCCTATTTTCATAACAAAAATGTATTACACATTTTCTCCAGATCCAATTTTCTGATCAGGAATTTATGCCACAAAGCCCTCGAACAGATTTCTAGCTAACTATAACTTGTAGACATTTCAGGGTCCACAGTTAAACCAACACTAAATTTTGAAGAACTTGTATTTGCACAGCACAATAACACATATAAACATTTCAAAAGAGTTTCACAAGTATCCAGCATCAAGTGTAGTTGACTTTTTTTTAAAAACAGAAAAATGCAGAAGCATTGTCCCACAAACAACTATGACATGAATGACTTAATAACCCGGAGGATTGCTGGCCAGAACGCTGGTAGAAACTCCTTTCTCTTTTTGAACAGTGTTGTGGGAATTGAACCCGATATGCTCAGTCAATACACATTACAAAAAAAACTTAATCTCTAAAATGTTTTGACATAACAAGACTCTATAGCAAATGCAAGGATTAATAACAACATACAATAATCCTTGCATTTGATATAGATCTTATCACATCGACGAGATGTCTCAAAGTGCTTCACTGGGTTTTTTATTGAAGTGTATATTGTGCATTTGTAGGCAAACACCTACAGTCTTTAATGCCTTATTATCTTTAAACATCCACCAGAGCAGGCAAAGAGAACCCTGGTTTAATTTCTTAACCAAAAGCATGCATCTCTGACAATGTAGCTCACCCAGTAATACACTGTGGAGTGTCAACCCTCCACTATAGGATCAACTCCAAAAGTGGGGCTTTTTTGGGTCAGCTTGATGTTGGTCAGGTGAAGAAAGAGTATTCAAATCAGACAAATGGAATATGAATGATATCTACACGTGGAAATATCAGAGTCTGAAATGGAAAGTGCACTCTTTTCCTCGAGGGACACACCTGGTTTACCTAATTCTAGAGAGTATTAGGCACAGGAGGGTACGGGGATTGAACCACAAACCTTCCTGACCCAGAGATGAGTGCACCTGACTAAGCCAGAAAACTGACTGTATAATTGTATTCAAGATATCGTTATCTTCTTGCTGTCCCATAGGAAGCTCAGATCTTGCATACAAGTCAAACAAAAAATCAAGCATATTTTCTAAAGAGACAACTTAACTATTTGACTGCATAACTAAAATATACAAGGTTTATGAAAAAGTAAACCTTAATTCCTACAATGTTCATACAACTGAGGTATTACAAGAAAAAAACATAAATAAAAAAAGTTTATGTTTACAGCACAAACTATAATTTTATAACAGCAGTACTGCAATCCTGTGAAACTCTTTGAGTTAAGACGATTTGATAAGACCTATATCAAATACATGTATGTTATTAATAATAATCCTTGCATTTGATACAACACCTTATCACGTCGTTGAGATGTCTCAAAGCATTTCATAGGATATACCGTAAAGTGGATTGACTGTGCATTTTTGTGCAAAATAAATGTTGACAATGATCATATAGAAGCCAAAACTGTACATCATGTGTATTGAATGCAATCAAAGCGCTAACATTTGAGGACACAACACTAAACTGAAAGCATCAAAGAATGATAAAAAAAAATGGGACTGTGCCCATCTCCTCCCATTTTGTTGTCTATCTGATGTTTATAGAACTTTTATTCTAGGATACATGGAGGTGCTGCATCTCACTGAGGACTAGGACATTAAGAATCCATGCCATGAAACATTAGCGCTGCTCAGTACCACTGAAAAGGGTAAAGAGCCTGCTGTAGGGATACATCCTGCTCCACTTTGCTGCCAATTTAAACCTGGCCAAGTGGTAAGTCACAAGCAGAGGCTGTGGAAAGGGTCTGCAGTAAATTGGGGATGGTGGTGCTGGTGGAGCAATTTGCTAGTTTTCTTAAACTGACCCTCTCTTTCTGGGTATAAGGCCAGGCGTTTGAATAAGAGAGAAAATGTTAAAGCTAAGCATAATTTACCCAAATATTCTGCCTATATGAAACACAGCTACCATGATGGACATATTTTAAAAAATCTCCCTAACTCTATTGTAATGCCTTACTTTTAAAAAAAAGGATAATTCTGCTTTACATTTTCCAGAACTCAAGCTGTAGAAAAAAAGTCAGCTAGTCTCGGTTTACTCTGCATAGAACAAACTTGCACAACATGCATTGGAGAGATGGATGCTAGTGGTCAATTGGAATAAACTATGTCTCTTGATATCTGTTACCTGGGTTCAAATATAGCCTATTTGATGGAATAAAATCTACCGCCCCATCTCTAATCTCCCTTTCCTTTCCAAAGTCCTGGAACGAGTCGTTGCTTCCCAGCTTCGTTCTTTCCTCTCCCGCCACTCCAATCACGAACCCCTCCAATCGGGTTTCCGTGCTGCCCATTGCACAGAAACAGCTTTGGTCAAAGTGACAAATTACATTTTGTTCATCTGCGACCGGGGCTCCCTCTACCTCCTCGTCCTCCCTGACTTCTCTGCTGCCTTCGATATTGTTGATCACTCTATCCTCCTCCACCGCCCCTCCTCTCACCTCAACCTTCATGGTTCAGTCCATGAATGGTTCAGATCCGACCTCTCGCACTGTCACCACTTCATCTCCACAAACAGCCTCTCCTCTAGCCCCCGCATGGTCTTGTGCGGAGTTCAGAGCTCTGTCCTTGTTCCCCTCCTTTTTGATATGTATATGCTCCCTCTTGGTGACATCATCTGCAGACATGGGGTCAATTCCCACATGTATGCGGATCACACCCAACTCTATCTCTCTGCCTCCACCCTCAACTCTAGGACCACTGCTGTGCTGACAGAATGTCTGTCAGACATCAAGTCCTGGTTGAGAGCTAATTTTCTACAGTTGAACATCAACAAGACAGAGGCTCTCCTGATTGGCTCCCGTCAGCGCCTCCTCACATCCGCGCTGACAGCATCACCATACAAGGATCCACACTCCACCTTACTAAGCCAGTCCGGTACCTTGGTGTCTTGTTTAACCCTCAATTATCCTTTCTACCTCACATCTATGTGATGTCCTGCTCTGCCTTCCCCCACCTCCCCAACTTCTCCCTCCAGAGACTGAAATCATCCAGAATGCTGTAGGCCATGTCCTCTCCTGAACCAGGCTCCGCAACCCCTCCACCCCCATCCTCGCTCGACTCCACTGGCTTCCCATCAAACAGAGGATACAGTTCAAGATCCTGGTCCTCACTTTCAAATTTTCCATGGCCTTGCTCCCCACACCTCTGTGACCTTCTAATCCCTTACCAACCTGCCTGCTCCCTCTGCTCAGCGGACTCCAGCCTGCTTCATGCCTCCGCCTTGCCCGCTCCACCATTGGCAGGCGGACCTTCTGCCACTCTGCCTCCACCCTCTGGAACTCTAACCCGCAGTCCCTCTGCCTTGTCACCTCCCTTGCCTCCTTCAAGACCCGTCTCAAGACCCTCCTCTTCAGTCACCCTCCTTCCCCCCCCTGCCCTCCACCCTCCCCGATCCCACCCCCAGCTTGGATCCTAAACACTGATTTTCCAGCGCCTTGGGACGTGATAGGCACTATACAAATGTAATTTGTTGTTGCAGTACCAGATAGCTGTAATTATTCTAATGTGAAATGAGAATGCATTTTTGAGCATTAAAATATCAATCACACTTTGGACACATATGTATGGCTGCTGTGGAAATAATTCATTGTCACATTGTGCAGTAGATGGCGCTCGACTGACAAAAGTCAAGCTGCAGTGTAATAAAATGTAAAGCTAACAATATACACTAAGAATTGAAATATTCCTCTTGCTTCACTATCCCTCAAATCAGAAATCCTTCATTTTGGTGAGCGCTAAACATAAATCTTATATCAAAACATAATTTCACTACTCCCCTGTTCTAGTAAATAAAGCTGCCCACAAATTCTGAACCCATATATTTACGTATTCCAAAATAGAGGATTTGAATATACCAAATACTATAGTTTTTCCTTTCATTACACAGATGTTTTAATTAGTGTGCTCGCAAGCTCCCAACATTTATTACAATTGAAAGTGAGCAATCTACACTGACTTTCAAAGAAACACTGCATAATACTTAATTTCCACATATTCTTTTCTGAGAGGAGAATTTTTTAAAGTGTAATTGATGAATAACTTTTTTTTGTATTGTGCATCACTAAAGGAATTATTCAGTTTCAATGTTAATATTTGGTATGCTAGTACATCATTCAGTTTTGTATGCATCTCTGGCTATTTTTACTTCAAAATGTAGAACTAGAAGTCTTGTTCAGTGGAGAACAAACTTTAAACCAGCAGGAAAAATAGTAAAATGGTCAACAGCTTTTTCAACGTTCTTGGAAGCTATTTTAAAGAGGTCAACTATAACACTGATCATTTCTGCCTAATTTCCACATCTTCCTCTCGACATTCAGCATAAAACTTCCAGCTATGGCATCATTCTAAAGCTTGGCATCAACAAATAAATTTGGAATGAAGGTGTATTTTTCTTCTTACTTTGTAAATAAGAATTTTCCTCTAGAATTTGTCGTATTTAAGACCTCAGGCATTTACAAGGATCTGGGTTAGTGCTGACAATATCAATGATCGTTAACAAAACTGCAATGATGCTTTTCTGCCACTTGAGAGCGCTCTAATTTAAATAGCTAAAGGCATTTATAAGATAAGAGGACACAACAGATTTAAATTTATTCTAGGGTACATTATGGAGGTTTTGCAACATCACACACACCCACAAATAAATCCACACAAAATACTAAATCCACAACTTACTTCTGTAATTGTCAGCATCATGACAGGCATTAATTAAGCTCCTAAATCTGTCCATGGTCAAATAAAATAACCTAGTACTTAAAATAATGTTTTTGATTGAACAAAACACTGATAAATGTAAAGCAATTACCCAAATAAATTGCTGTACTTTTAAAAACATTTTTAAAAAATCACGGCAATTACTCCGAATTATTTGGGGTGGAAAAATCCTTAACATTGAACGCTCAAATATATGGTAGCATTAACCTACTAACCAGTGATTATTTGCTTTGTCCCCAATGCCACTTTCATAAAAATGGCCAACTGATGTCACTCATTCAATCTAATCTTCATAATTTAGAGAAATGGGAAGCAATTCAATGTGCTGGAAGCACAATATTTTTGTATTTTTGGTGGGGTGATTAACATTGGATTTTTCTTGCAAATAATTTTTTTTGTGACAAACAGAACACAGAAGAAATCCCCCCAATTTTTTGTTACAGGTCTTAATTAGGTAAACTTGAACGTCCAACCTAGATGATGTCTTTACTATTTAGTAATTGTAACTTTGAAACTATCATCCAATTTCACCCAAAGACAGTAATTCAAATTAATCCATATGATGCATCACCTTCTCATACTTTTTTAACATTAACCGCAGCATTGCGGTTAGTTTTGCAATTATTACCCAATTCAATGCTTTTCCATCAATTAGCAGTGGACACAAGGATCTTGTTCATTCTACATTATGGAAACATACATGCAACAGCACAAAATAAGTCAAATATGAAACACTGCAGACTGATAAAAATGGGAAAGGCTTAAAGGTAATTAAGAACATCTTAAACAGACCACTTCAATTTCCATTTTTTTCAGCTGCAACAGTGTTTAAAGTAATGATTAATTCTGTCTATTACACCCGAGATAATTACAGTGCAGAGTTGTAAACAGCCGGTTTCTGGAGATACATTTGTTTGGTATTGTTGGTCTTGGGGATTCAAATTTGCCATGGCAACCATGGCCATTTTCTTCTGAGAAAGAGCAAAAAAAGTGATGAAAGGTCATTTCCTTGGCAGCAAATAGCTTTTAAATGTTTTTCTGATAGGGAGGCAAGATGTTCTCCTTTCATCAAATATAAGACAGCTAATTTCCTCTCTCCCTCCCACCTTCCCCCCCACCAATCCCATAGAACCACTCCCAGCACAGCTCCCAGTCTCCATTTTCTCTTATATTAATACAACAGTTCGGCACAAAAATCTACACTAAAGTTGCTCTGACTTTGTGTGGTAACAAAGCAGATTACCTGCAAATTTAATGTTTGAGAAGCAGTTGACTGCAAAGTTGTTCCAGCAAGCTGTACCTGAAATAAAATAACAGTTAAGAATTTCTCCCCACCACAAATGTGATTAGAAAATGTCTCTTCTGGCAAACCTATTGGGACTTGAATAAAGGAGAAACATTAGGATGTCAAATCATTACACACATGCTAAAACTAAACAGATTTGAATCATACACGTTCTACCTTTAAATATTGGTATATTCTCCAAAAATAAATACCTGTCTAACTTCTCATTTTTCTTCAGTATACAAATGAATGCATCATAAAATGGGAGGGGAAGGGTGTAGGAAAGACAAATTAAAGTGTTTTTTTTAGCATTAGTAGCTGCTTGGAAGCCATGATACACAGGTGCCCATGTCCCACTACCTCCACTTTGTCTCACTCCGGAAACTGTAACTGTTCTCTTGAAGGACTTAATGGTGGAAAAGAGAACAAGTTAAGAAGTTAAGAAGAAAAGGAAGGCTCAGGTTACTCTTAATTAATTTAGGGAATTGATTGGAAAGCAGAGAGGGAGAGAGAGCGCTTCATGCACTGAGATTCAATCACCACATTTTAAGTATTCTTCTTAGTTATCCTCCAACTCAGAAGTATTTCCTGTAGCCTTAACCTGTTTCTGAACCAAGAAACAAATAAAAGCTGACTCAGACACTTCATAATTAATTCAGTCTGTGATAAGAATGAAATTTGCTAAAACTTTTAGCTCAGATGAAAGCCATCAGTTTTACATCAGATGGCTTTAAAGATGAGAAAGAGTTATTAATCATACTACCCACTGGCATCTAGAACATGCGCATGCCATATTGACAGCTGATTCACATCACCCAAACAATATAGGAATTTCTCCAGCCTCCTGTTGAGAAGATACTCTCACAATCAAATCATTCAAATAAAAGTATGTATGAAACACCAACAGACTGGTAGTCATATACCCTGAGCACTAAAGCCAGTTTAATGAAATTTTGTGTCAGCACCCATTGCCCCTGCTCCTAGAAGAATTTCCTGAAACTCTAACAATAATCCTTGCATTTGATGTAGCTTCTTGTCACATCAACAAAATGCATCACAGAGTTTTCTGTAAAGTGCACTGACTGTATTTATTGGCAAATGTGACGGCCAATTTGCCAGTGTCCCAAAAACAAAACTCAAAGTGGATCAACAATATTTATTTTGGGGAATTGTTGGCCAGGACACTGGAAGAAACGCCCTTCTTTTTTTCTAACAGTACCAAAGATCTTTAACATCTATCTGAATGGCCAGATCACATTCAGACATCGACTACAATGTGATAAGGCGCTATATCAAAAGCAAGGATTATTATTATTAACCTTCAACTTCAAGATGAAAGTGGTACCAACTAAGTCAGCCTGAATGGTGAAATGCAAGTTCACCATTTTTTTATTTCAAATCCCTAGTGAATCAACAATCTATCTCTCAGCGTTTGGTAAATGACAAAATAGTGAGAATAGAGGCTTCATTCACCTCTTGATACTCTCAGTACAGAAAAGAAAACTACTTGATGGCCAGTGACAAAACTTGAGGTGTTCTCCTTATTGTGGACTGCAAGCTTGGGTAATTATTTCTGTCATTCAAAATACCGTAGTCCTTGTTGTCTATTGGGTTTACAAATCCTAATGGAATTTTTCCAGTGGTGGAGACCTCAATACTAACAGCAATATATGGGCTGTCTATAGGCTCTTGAATAGGACAGTGCTTGCAATGTTAAAGGAGCTCAGTTTGTAATCTTCTCAGCAATCCTCTCTAATTTTGGACATTAAAGGACAAAACACAAGAATACTGTATTCTGTACAACTTATTGTATTTCTTGAATGACATATCAGCTGGAAACCAATACGTGCCATCAATACAACAGTAAACTACTTTGTTGACAATGTAAGCCATATTAAAAATCTTTAATTAGACGCATGGGAAGCATCATTGGCTCCAATGGCATAGGAACTTGTGTTCAAGAATTCATAACTTTCTTGAGCTTCAAATTACACATTTTACACATTTATTTCTGCAAAGCTTAGGGCAATGTACACCGTAGTAACAAAGCAATGTTTTGCAATTTGTTCATAGCCATTATTCTGCTGTCATCTGAACCCTTTTTGTTTTCTCAATCAAGGCAAACCTAAACGTTGACACAGATTTCAACTATTGAAAGAGTTGCAAAGATTAATGTCCTTTTTCCCCTCAATGACCACTTTACAGTGGAGTCCTGTAGCTCAGTGGTTAGAGCACTCGCTTTGCAAGCAAGAGACCTGAGTTCAATTCCAGGCAGGTCAGGGCGAAACCTTGGGCAAGTTTCCATACTCCACACAGAGCCTAATAATAATCCCTCCAAAACCAAAAACAATAATAAAATGGTCATTTTCAATCTACGACTGTTTGTGGGACATTGCTGTGCGCAATTGGCTGCCGCATTCGCCCACAAAAGTCAATTCACTTTACAGTGTGTTCTGTGAAGCGCTTTGGGACGTCCTCCCGACATGAAAAGCGCTATTTCAAATGCAAGGATTATTATTATTATAGGTTATCAGCCTCACTGGAGTTAACATGATAATTTACTTAAGCCTTTCAATCCCTAATTCTTCATACTTCTTTAGAATTTTTAACAGTTGTTCCATGGTGTGAAGTTTATTGGGTAGAAACAATAATTCATACTATATAGTGCCTTTCATAAAGGAGAATGTCTCAAAGTGCTTTACAAATTCTGAGTGGGAGCCTAAGATGGGAGGAAGATAAAGGGGTAGATGGAAGGTAGTCAATATTTTTTTAGATGGATATTAATGTATTGGATAGTCGGGGAGTGGAGAAAGAGGCACAGAGAGGTATCACAGATTGAGGGCAAAATGGCAGAAACTTTGTCCACGAGTGAAGTGGATGGGGGCATAAAAAGGCCAGAGGTGGTGGGGCGAAGTGGGTGAACTGGGGAGTAGGAATATAAGAGATTGCAGGGGTAGCCTAAGGCATGACACTGAAGGTACAGGATGAGAAAGTGTCAATTATGAAGGCCTAAGCTGGTCACTAAAAAGAAAAAAATTATGTATAGCAAAATACAGAAAAGCAAAAAAAAAATCCAGACCAACACATTGCAGCCTTCACCAGAACACAAAGCTCAAGGTTATTTCCTTGTCAAAAGATGACAACAGTTGGGGCAAAATAAATAGCAATAATACCAATGAATAGTATGTGTGTGTGTGTGTGCATGTGTGGGGGTGGGGGGAGAACAAAAGAGAAATGAGAACATTATCTGCAGCATAGAAAATTATGATGGGATCAGGTTTGTGCATTCAAAAGGAGCAGAATCTTGAGAATTTTCCAGTGAGTTTCATTAGTTTTAGATGCTATGTGGAGCAGAACAAATTGGAAGGCTACTCCAGGGTAGTACATTACTGTCAAGTACTTACCCTGTGGAGCACCTCTAAATTCTTATTTCAGATTTTTCTCAAAAATAGAAAACAGCCATCTCTATTTCCAAAGATTTGAGCAGAGGCAAATAGAATGGAATGGAGCCGCTGATATGACCCTGGGCAAATGGATTCCTTTCCAATGTAGTCGTTTCAAAGCACTAGGGACAGTATTTTTTAAGGTCTATTTAACAAAATAAAGTCATTTATTTTTCTCTCACTTAAGAAAGCAAAACTAGTTTTTAACTCACATAATTTCATAGGTACATCAAACCAATCAACAAACATGTCCCATTTGGTTAGGATACAATTAAGCTTAGCTGTAATAACCTCAATCCATGCTCAACACCCTGCTGATGATTACCGTGAAGGCTAATGCATGAAGAATTCCGGGAGGTATTGGGGGGGGTGCTAACATCAGGAGAAAAAGTTGGAGGAAGAAGGATCACTCTTTTCTATCTTAGTCATCAAGGATTTGACTTCATGCATTTGATCTCCTCGTGTAAAATTCTATATAAACATTTCCTGATCCCCAAAGTGTAACCTAATCACACCCAGAATAAATATTTCCTTATCTCCACCAATCAATGCTTTCTATCTGTCCTTGACAGACAATAACTGTTCTCTTCCCCTCCTACCTGCCACACAGCACAAAAACCATTTCAACTATGGAGAAATTTGATCGATTTAGCCTGTATCAATCATGGAACTCCTACAGATATTTATCCAGGCAATTTACGTTGTTAAAATCTACCGTAGAACTACCGTAAGTACCTTTCTCCTACTACCCCATCCCTGGCAATACCCCTTTATATTTTAAAAAATGAAAATGGCCCCCTTACTCTGCAGAAGTGCCAGATTAGAATTGACGTAGGATGGGGAAGTTACTGATGTAGGATAGGGAAGTTATTATTTGTAACTCCCAGGTTAAAAATAATTAATTGAAGCCATTTGATCTCAACCTGCAGATCAGGACAAGAACAAAGTTGCAGTCCCTACTGAGGACTAAAGCCATTTGTCCAACTATGCAATTTACTGGTGCACTTTTCATGAATTTTTCAAAAGCACACCTAAAAGGAGGATATGATGCTTCAGATCAATCAATGGAGGAGACACAATGCAGTATTATCAGGCTCTCGGGTGCAAGAAGCTGCAATATAATGATGGCTATCCTTGACTACATATAGTACAAACATCTGAGTTTCTTGTTTTCCATAGTAGTATATTCTACATAACCTTTTCATACCCTTCCAACAAATCCCATTGATATTCGACCACCTACTTATGTTGACAAAATAGCAGCATAAAACTACTCATCGTCACAGCATATCAGACAATATTGAAATCAACAAAACCTTTTAACAGAAATTAGAAAAACAAAATTAATCACCCTCTATTTAAAAATGAGCCCAAATATGTTTTGTCTCCTGACTCTTCATTCTCCCAGTACAGTGCCATTCTGAACCTGCAATTCTTTTTGGTCAGTCAGGTGGCTGATTAATACAGAAACCCAACATTCTTAAGAGCATCCAAACTGGAGTTCCATATTTGCATGCCACCCACCTACACATGGAAATTCCCCTGCATCTACAATATAATAATACTTGCATTTGATACAGCGCCTTATCATGCCTTCGAGACATCTCAACAATGGAATACACACACTCTCTCCCTGGTGGAATGCATCCCATTTGTGATCTTCTGCACCACAAGTTAGTACATTTTATCAGAATATTATACACATATATTATTTTCTTTCTTTATTTATTTATTTAGACAATAGAGGGGAATAAAGAAATAGACTAGTCCTCTGTAATGCAATTGTGTCCCAATGAAGGGACCCCAAAAGTTATCAGCCAGGATTCAAAATGGTATTGCAGAGTTGAAACAAATCACAGTTAAGACAAATGTTTCTCAACAAAACTTTTCTGTTTTAGTTGACTCTCCAGGAAAATAATTCTGAAACAACAATTCACTTCTCAGAGGAAAGAAAATCCAAACAAAAGGAAAAACCAATCAATAACAAACATTTAACTCAGGAAATGTATTAGCAGAGTTTTGGGAACAGGTTATTAACTAGACCGTTGAGAAAAGAAATGTGTGAAGGGTCACTAACAAACACTAACTACTGTAACCCCAAAATATTTACAGCTTGCTATAAAATCTAATTACCACTATTATATAAAATAAACAGATGGCACCTTTTCGACTTGAAACTATTGTTTTGTGCCAATTGCCAATTTTAATTCATAAGTTATTACCATTTGCTTTGCTGGAAAACAAATCACAACTGACTGGTTCCATTAAAAACAGCCAAAGATAGGTTTCTCACAGCACGCCACTGATGGACTTTGTCTGTGCATCTGAAGCATTTGAAGTGGGATCAATAACGTTGGGAGAATATTTAACATTAAAACAAATCTAAACAGAAACCATGACAACTGTCCATTCTCCATGTCTTCTTGATTTGGAAAGAATATCTTGTGCCATTAATTTGGCCAGCAAAATCCCACAACTAACTATGAACAGTCAATCTGGAGAATTGTTACCCAGAAAACTCCCTTCTCTTTTTGAATAGTCATGCTATGTTCAACATACATTTCAACAGAAACTCAAGATTTCAGTTTACAAGATCACCCAGAAAACAACATAACAATGCAACACTCCCCCAGTACTGCACTAAAGTGTCAGCCTGGACTATGAGTTGAAGTCCCAACATGGGTCTCGAACACACAACCTTCTCACTGGAAAGTGTGAATGCTACAAACTGGCAAGGAGATGGTTAGTCCTGCACAAACCTACAGGTGGTGAGTGGCATGCATTCCCAAAATATTTCAAGCCTGTGAGAATCCACTTAAGTTAAAAAGAAAAAGCATTTTCAATTGGCAGCCAGCATAAAAGGGGGAAATCAGCATACATGCAGAGGAGGAATGAGTTGGGACATGAGGCATTGGTCCCATTTGATAATATGCCTTTGTTCCAATTTGATACTGAGAACTCGAGCAGTTATAATTGAAAAATAAAGCATTTTTTGTGCCAATTATGACCTCCATAAAATGCGCCATTATAGCCAACATAATAAGTCTTTACTTCTTTCAAGGAAAGAGTGCCAAGAACCTTTTTTTTGCAAAAGATCATTTCAGCAGGACACCAGTAAAACTTCCAGCATAACAGATTTTCACAACTAATTTTCTGGGTTCAAACATATGTCACCATTAGTAACAATTTCAATGTATAATTCATCATGATTTGATTCATTTCACTGCAGTTGCAAGCAAAAGGTTTGGGATCATGTTTTAAGGATATTCAAGGCTTTGAAACCTAAAATGAGATTTGATAGAGCCTTAACTAGAACATACACATTAAATATATAGACAATTGAATTTTAAGCACTCCTTTTTTATATGAAGTATTAACAGAAAAAAAGGGTTGTGTAAATTGCACATTAGAACAAGCATGTAGTCCCAATATCGCATTAAATATGTAGGCGTGAAAACTCACATATAAGCATCTGTTCGTCACATCTGACATGTAGTTAACCTGAAGTAACAAGAAAATGACAATACAGTATATATATGTAGATGAAAAACTTGCTAAGATGACAATTGGAAGGAACTGCCAAAAATGTGAAATTATTGTACAAAAATGGAACCACCACAACTGAAATAATTAAAACAAAATAAATTAGTCAAGAAAAAAAAGTGACAGCAAAATAGTAAGACACCTGCTCACGTACATTGAAAAAATGTTTTTTGGTCACTGCAGACATTAAAGCTTCAGCTGTTCCACAGATTGCTGTACAAACTGACCCATATAAACAGCCATTCATGTTTACAATATACAACCAGATAAACGCTCTTACTTTCCTGTCAGGACAATTCGGGAGGAAATGGGAAATATTCGGTAAAGATAAAGGCAAAATAAATTTCCTACTCTAATAAGTGTCAGATCATTGAAACCGTTTAAAATCAAACAATGAATCTTATCCATTGATGATGCCGAGGTAGAAATTCAAATTGGAAACTGGAGTTTGCTATAAAAAAAAAATGCACAAACATGATTCCAAAATTTTACAATTTATAATATAGTTCTGTTCAAAAAGTTTGAAAGTCATTACTTCATTAATAAATTTTAAAATATCATTCGTAAACTAAGAAGCACAGTAAAATTAATTAATGCTGGATATGCCACAACTGCAGTCCAAAGAATTTAAGGATTTTATGAACATATGTACAAAATTATGTACTTTTAGCGCTTCATTATTATACTTTATGTNAAAAATACACAGGGCATTAAATATCAACTATTATTATAGTTTAATTCTGCATCAATTGGTGCATTTGCAAATGTGTACCAATTGCAGAAAAGAATGATCACCTACCTTGTCAAGGCTTCATTCTTCAAATGAAGGCATCCTTCACACACCACTAAAATAAGGTACCGCCGGGAATCAAACATCAGGAAAAAGGCAAAATGGCAATATCCCTTTGAAAATGTGATGGCATAATGCCACTGTATCAAGGACACCATCCTTGTGATCTTCTCCCACTTCCTCAAGCCTTAAAATGAGAGCCTTGCCCTGAACACTTCAATTGGCTTTTATCCACCACCAACAACATGAGTTACACTCTTCCATTTGTCCATGATGTGCTCAGAGGATAGATTGGGAGGCAGTCGTTATGCCTATATGCAACTGTATAAACCTTGATACACTGGTCTGAATGTCAAAAAGCTGGTGCAATAGCTAGCCAACATACGTAATCTCACTTGGTACTAGATCAATAATGGGGTCTATATTTGGTCAATGCACAATTAGAGTAGGAAAATGTACTGAAGCACACTACCCTAAGAATATTCTGAAACTATTAACTTAAAAAAACTCTGAAAAATGCCCTATAAAAAGAAACAAATTAAACACTAACTTTACAAAAACTTGAAGAAAAAACAAAGATGCGAAGTGTGTAGTGGTAGTTTTAAGTTTGTTGTCTAAAGAAACCAAATGATTTGCGATAAGGCTCATTTCTGTAGCATGGAAATAGGAGATCATATGGATAACGTATTTGTAGCAGTACAATATCCAAATTAAATACTGACTCTCCATCTTTTTCTTGCCCATTTTTGATCCCTGGTTCCTTAACTAAATGATGTGTGGCAGATGCCTGAAATGAAGAAGAATTGGGACTTATGCACAGTTCTGTTGCTTCTGCAATTCTTTGTCAGGCAATTATAAAGCTACATACATTGTAAATGCCAAACAACAGAACTCTGGTGGCAATGAAATCCTTCGGTACGTTTGCAACTAGTTTATCAGAAGTCTCTTCCTTTTTTTGAAAACAGATAAAGGGTGAAATGCTGTCATCAAAGCAGCTGTATTATTATTTATGACTTTTTTTAAAATATGTAATCCAAATAGAAATCATTTTTGATGCAAAGATCAGTTAATAGATCACTCCTTTGTGGGTTTATATGAATTTTACTTTTTAACTTGCTGAAAATAAAATAATGTGAAATGTGCTTCCAACACATTATAGCATACCTGCTGCAGTAAGGCCTGGGCCTGTGCTGTTGTGATTTGGCCTCCTGTTGGGATGGGCTGCCGCTGGAAGTCCAGTCCATTTGTCTGAGCAACTAGAGATGGTAAAAGCATAAATGAAAGAAAAGATGTTACAAGTAGCCGAGCAATAATTGTAGAGCAACTAGGATGAGACATTTCTGTAAATTCATGCCTCAACTGTATTACTCTTTCATAACCAAATAACAAATAAAATATTGTAAAAGTCAAATAAGTCTCATCAGTCGGGACCATAACATTAAACATGACTTACGCAAGGTCTGAGTCACAGGCAAACTTCAAGTATAAGTCATATAAAATCAGATTGAATCAATAATCTACACTGCACTCGCGTTATTCATTACATCCAGTAAGTGCGTATGCGATAGTTCATTATTGCAGTGGTTCTGATAGGAAACCGAATAGTACTCTGGTTAACGACTTAGGCAATTATATGATATAGAATGATAAGACTTATACGAGTTAATTAATTTAGAATACACAAAAACAAACATAAATTGGAAAAAAATAATTAAACGCAGTTTTAAAGTGACTAATTATGCATTAATTACAGCCTGCTTTTTTTGTCTCTCATACATGAGTAAACCCTTCACTGTGCTTTAGGTTATCCAAAGTTCTACTTATGCATGCCACCTACGCAGAAATTTCCGGTGCCTAGAATGCATTTCTCTCTCTCTCTCTCTCTCTCTCTCTCTCGAACCACGCTTAACTAATTCAGAAGAACATTAGGCAGTTTGGCAAAAGCCAAGACTTTCAGACCCCAGAGTATGGTGGGGTGCTGCTGGAGTTTTACCAGCTAAAACCACGTAGGTTGTCATCGGGAGCACTGTTTGGCAAGCTTTCCATTATTTATCCAGCTTGGACCACCCTTAGGGCTTTGGCTTGTAGGGATAACAGGAGCTGAGTGGAAAGAATCCCTACAACAACAACTTGCACTTATATAGCACCCTCCACATTTTTACCATCTCTAGTCTCAGAGCACTTCACAGTGGCGAAGCCTGACTCCGACCCAGGTGGGGGGGGGGGACGGTTGGTGGCCATAAGCACGGTCAAAGAGGAAGGTTTTCAGGCAGGACTTGAAAAAGGGGAGAAAGACGGCAAGGTAGAGAGATTGAGGGAGAGCAATCCAGAGTTTCAGGGGGTAGTGGCTGAAAGCGCAACGTCTGATGGTGGGGCGGAGGGTGCGAGGGACAAGCAGGAGGCTGGGGCCAGTCGAGCGGAAGTGCCGGGTGGTGGATTGGGGAGTGAGGAGGTCGGAGAGGTAGGGAGGTGCCAGAGAGTGAAGGGTGCCAGAGAGTAGGGATTTGGCACTTGGAGTGAAGGGACTTACTGCCCTCCCTCCCTCTCCCAGGAGGATAGTCATCTTTGTCCAGGATTTTCTACTAATCATTTATCAGAACTAGCTTCTGGTTATGAATCTTTATTAATAGTACATTTTGCAATACCAACTCAAGGCACTAAGTGATCTGGATTGAAAATTGATGGTCAATGTTTGAGCTTTCTGGCATCTACACAATGATCGGGGGGTGGGCAGAGCCAGTGTCCCGTGACATTATGACATCAAAGATTAAAATTGTCTTAAAGAAATGTTCCCTTTAGATATTTTCCCAAATACTCATCCCATGATGTGGAGAGGATGCTGAAAATTAAAAATTGCATATTTTGTAAAAGGGCATAATGGTAATTTTGCACCCTAAAAGTTAAGCTGCAGCTCTAACCTGTGCTCCCTTCGCTGCCATCCAAGGAAGGCTTGATAGACTCTGACGGATTGCTCATTCTTGATTCTGTGAAAAACACAAATAGTAGAAGACTATTCATATTAGTTTTTCCCTATATGAGTTTTCATTAAAAAATCTTTAGGTAAAGAAGGCACTTCAGCCCATTTGATCTCATGTTTCTAGAGTACCTACTCTATCATCTCCCATTATACCATCAAGCTGCTTCTGAAATTAATCTATAAGTCTACGCTTTTTAACACCCTTCTTAGTAACTCATTTCTGCCCCAGCATTTTGCCCATCATTGTAATGGGATCACAGGTTAAACAGCACTGATGTCATCAATGCCACATTTCATCACTTCAAGATTAATTGTAGACTTTTGTTCTATGTATACACGATCCTCAATTAGAAGCTCTGACCAAACTTGTCATAGGGTGTTTGGGCTGCATCACATCCAGCACATATCCTTGCTTTCTGAAAGTGCACATTGCAAAATTGATCCTTTCCCAATTTGCAGAATCCACACATGCTAAAAGTAACTATTCAGTAGTATTCTTCATATTTTGACACCTTGACATCAAGAATGAAATCTCAAATGATTTTAATCTCAATCGATCTATTCATAGGAAACAGGACCTAAGAATCTGTGGCAATCCAGAATGTTTCCCTTACCAATGCCTTTATTTACCTGATTGCATACCCAAAGCAAGCAACCTGTGAATTTCCTTTTTTTTAAATAAGCAGAGCAATGAAGGCAGTTTTGTCATTTCTATCAGCTGCATTTGATCTCTTCACCTATGTGTACAAAGTTGTGTGGGGCACCCAGAGATTGCAGTTAAGGCCACTGACCAGGAAGTTGTCGCACAAATTCTAAACCTGGAGTCCAGTGAAAACCAATGATCCTCATTATAGGTGAATTTTGATAGGATATTGATACTGTTTGCACTTAGGAGCACTACAGCTGTTGCCAATGGCAGGGCCAAGAAATAATGTAAGAAGACAGTTTGCGATGATCTTATGCTGTTAAGTGGCTGACTTCAGTAGAACTTTAGTGGAATTTCTAGTCAAACAAGTCTGAGAAAATGATTGCATTTAAGTCTGTATTGCATTTAAAAACTTAAAACAAAAGATACACGCTCTTATGTTTGTCGAGAATCAAATACTTATGTATTATAATCATTGGAAGCTGCAGCAAAGGTCTCATAACACAAAAAATAATGTGGCTTACAACAGAGATCACCCATAACCATATGTTCTACATATTTTTTCAAATACTGTAACCACAAATTAACAGAAATGTTGGAAATTATGTTGCAAAGTTTATTCTTATTTACCAAATGTTTTTGTCGGAAAGAGAATATTGAAAATGTCAGTGGTTTGAAACAGTGGTATGTTTTGATCATTAAGTTCTGATACAGTAAACTCACATAAATTGTATCCGTCGGGACCATAACATTTAATATGACTTACGGGTAGTCCGAGTTGCAGGCAAACTATATTAGTCGTATAAAATCTGATTTAATCAATAATCTATACTACACATGCATAATTCAATGCAGCTGATAAGTGTACATTCGGTAGTTCATCACTGCAGCCAGTAAGTGTGCATGCAGAGATGGGTCAAGACTACCTTGCCAGCGATTCGTCGCTGCATGCGCACTTACCCGCACGCATTGGAATCACACGAAATCGCGGGAAATTAAATTCGACTACGATCAAGACTACTTTTCCCACAGTTCAATGCAGCCGGCAGGTAAGTGCACATGCCCCGACAGGTCAGGACATCATTTCCCATCATTTCCCGTTAAGCAGCCAGTAAGTACGAGATTAATGGAGGATAGGGGAGCTTCGTTACCAGTTAGCAGGGGATTAATACGAGCAGTGCAAAGTGGTTTTGATAGGAAACTGAATGGGATTCCGGTGAATGTATGACTTAGGCGATTATACGATTATAAAGATTAGACTGATGTGAGTTCACTTTATTTACCTTATGACAAAGAAAGAGAGAGAGAGAGGACCATCATAACGCCCAATTAAATCATTTTTGAGTGAGCTATCAAATGTATGCTGATCAATTATACCCATTGTTTCCTCACCAACATGAGACCAGTGCAGCTCAATTCTAATATTATATATAATGGCAATGTATATTTGGCTCTCTCATCAATCGGTTCGCCTCAATAATACAAAACCAGCAGAGGTCTTCTCGGCTCTGGCCTTTCAATGGAAGTTCTGGGCCAACAACAGTTTCATCTGTTCTAATTCACCCAAGATCCAGGAGTAGCAACTCGTGGAGGATCCTTTTGTGATAGGTCGTAAGAGTCTGTGTTCTATTATTGCGCCCGAGTACTGCTGGTTCCTCACTGATCTTCCTAGTTCCGCTCTCAGTGAGCTCCAGATCAAAACTCCACAGGCCTCAACGGGTTTCACTGGCTCCCAATGGATGGACTTCCAAGGTCCTCACCGTTAGCCATAAAATCCCATCATGCTCTAAAACATCCCCATCTCTGTAACCCTCTACTATATTCTTCTGCTCACCCGCTTTGCTCAGTAAACTTAGGCCTGCTGGGCATCACCTGCCGAGCCTTCAGTTACTATGCCCCCTTTTGTAACTCCCTCTCTCTACGCCTCTATATCACACACCCTCCATAGATCCTTAAATCCTGTCTAAAAACTCTTACGAAACTGTCTTAAAAACTCCATGCTTACGGTCATCTCTCCCTTCCACTTTGCTTGGTACAGAACCGCTTCCTTGTGTAGCCGTCAGCGATGCTGTGCTACGTGAAAGGCGCTATATAAATGTGAGCTGTAATAGTTCAATCAAACAAAATCAACAAACAACACGATTCAAAATAAGTGGGCGGACATTTTACAAAACTGTAGTATAAATCGTCATTCTACTCCAAGACAATCTTGGAGGACAAGGACGACCCCAGGCTCCTCTTCTCCATCACCAATCGGATCCTCCACCTTCCCTTGCACGCCTCGCCCATCCTCTCCTCCAATGCCAACTGTGAGGCAATGCTGGACTTCCTCGAAACCAAAGTCAAGGGATTAGCTCAGCTGCCTCTACTCTTCCGTCTATTAGCCCCTCCCCATCTCCCCCTCGCACTGCAGCCCCTATCCATCCCTCCCTCCACACCTGTAAACCTGTCTCCCATTCCTCTCTCACCATCACTATAAACCGACCACCCGGTTCCTCAACCCCATCCCTACCCTTCTCCTTACCTCCCAACTCCACCTCCTTGCCCCTCTACTCAGACATCATGAACCTTTCCCTGTTTACTGGCACCATTCCCATCCCTTTATAAACGGTTATCATCACTCCTATCCTTAAAAACCCTCCCTGGACCTATCCCTGCTTTCAAACTACTACCCCATCTTCAACCTCCCTTTCCAAGGTCCTGGAACAAGTCGCTACTTCCTCTCCCACCACTCCCTTTACGAACTCCTCCAATCGGATTTCCGTGCCGCCCATAGCGCAGAAACGGCTTTGGTCAAAGTGACAAATGACATTCTGTCCATCTGCGACCAGGGCTCCCTTCTGCCTCCCCTTCCTCCTTGACCTTTCTGCTGCCTTCGATACCGTTGACCACTCTATCCCCCTCCACCACCTCTGAATGTTTGTCAGACATCAAGTCCTGAATGAGAGCTAACTTTCTTCAGTTGAAAGTCAAAAAGGCAAGACCCTCCTAATTCGCTCCCATCAGCATCTCCACACCACAGGCGCTGACAGCATCAACATCCAAGGATGCACACTGTACCTTACTAATCCAGTCCAGAACCTTTGCATCTTGCTTGACTCTCAACTATCTTTTCTACCCCACATCCATGCCATCCCTCCTGGCCTTGCTTCCCCCCTACCTCTGCAACCTTCTATCCCCTACCAACTTGCCCGCTCCTCTGTTCAGCGGGCTTTGGCCTGCTTCACGCCCCCCACCTTGCCCGCCCAACCATTGGCAGGCGAGCCTTCAGCCACTCTGCCCCCACCCTCTGGAACTCCATCCCGCAGTCTCGCCGACTCAACAACAACAACAACAACAACAAGATTTCATTTATAGAGCGCCTTTCACGTCGGGAGGACGTCCCCCTCCCTTGCCTCCTTCAAGACCCGTCTCAAGACCCTCTTCTTCGACCATGCCTTTGATCACCCTCCGTTCCTCCCCCTGCTCTCCGATCCCGACCCCCAGCTCGGGTCCAAAACAACGCCTTGAAATATCCCCCCATAGTGCAAGGCACAATACAAATTTAATTTTGTTGCAGTTGTATAATAGAACATCCAAGATGAGCTAGGTTAACCATTAGAAACAGTGGAGCAAGAAAGTACTTTTATAGCTGGAGACAAACAAAATGCCGATCACCATTTGGAACAGAATGCAAAACTGACGAAGTACAGTCTTGCGGCCTTATCGAACAGATTTCTTCAAACAAGCTTCCTATTTCAGAAAAAAAACATTATCTACCATACTGAAATTTGACATGACAAGAGGTTTCCCGAAGTGGCTCATTTCATTTACAATTTGCTTCTTTTGACCAGTGTTTAGTTAACAGCTAGCACCCGTTTCCCCCCACTGAACATAAATACAAATTTCCTTTCATGTTAAAAGTTAAAAAGCAAAAATCACGTTCAAGCAAGATTTATATACAATTTGTTTATGAGTAGCATATTACAATCTGTTAAACTACAGTAATAACTCCATTAGCAAATATATATAGATTTCAAAAACATACTTTTTTGTAAATATAAAAGTTGTGTAAATCAACGTTGGATACATTGGGAGTCCAATAAAATAATTACCAAACCCCACTTTTACATTAGAGCAGCAAAATATTATCTGTGAACCATCCATAATTTAGATTCTATGACTACGAGGAGTGCATTTGTAATGAAAAGTGGCCAGACATAAAAGGCTTCCATGACAAGATGGAGCATTGTTCAAAAACCTTATTGTGTATCATTAGTATATTCATTACAATAATACAGAATAGATTAGGCTTCTTATGGTTCAAATTTAAGCCACCGACATGAATGACACACAACCAGCAACAGATCTTAGCAGGTTTT